GTTTGGAGGGTTTTGGAGGGTTTTGGAGGGTTTGAGGCCTGGCAAACGGCAGCCTTGAACGCCTAAAAGAAGCCATTGCTGCGGCCGGGGGGTGCCCTTGAGCCATTGCTGTGGCCTTGTAGTGGCTTTTGCCTGCAGCGTTGGGCGTGGCAAGTGTTCAAGAAAGACAGGATCCACACCTCCGGTGGTCCCAGGCGCCGCCCCGGCCTTGGCGAAGGCCGGGGTCGGCGGATATACATGTGTTTACAATTATGTACATTTATTTACATTTACTTACATTCATTTACATTTACCTACATTTACCTACATTTATTAACATATACGTACGTATATTAATGTAAAGTTGCCCATATATGCATATATTGACATACAAATATTTCCCCACCTGCCAGGTGAGGGTTGTTAGATTTTATGTCAGTTGCCTCCTCCTCCTCCTCCTGCCTCGTCCTCCTCTCCTCCTCCTCTCCTCCTCCTCCTCTCCTCCTCGTCCTCCTCGTCCTCCTTGTCATCCTTGTCGTCCTCTCGTTGTCCTCGTCGTCCTCGTTGTCCTCCTCGTCCTCCTGCTCAACTGCGACTCGCGATCCACAGTGTTCTCTGCCGGACCTCAACCACGACCATCCACGCCCAGTGTTCCCTGCCGGACCTCAACCACGACCATCCACGCCCAGTGTTCCCTGCCGGACCTCAACCACGACCATCCACGCCCAATGTTCCCTGCCGGACCTCAACCACGACCATCCTCGCCCAGTGTTCCCTGCCGGACCTCAACCACAACCATCCACGCCCAGTGTTCCCTGCCGGACCTCAACCGCGAGTATCCACGCCAAGTGTTCCCTGCCGGACCTCATGTAGGAAGATATGGGACAAAGAATGCGCAGAAGAAAGTTAGAAAGAATGTCAGAAAGAATGTCAGAAGATATGCCAGAAGATTTTATGCCAGAAGATATGCCAGATAGAATGCCAGATAATATGCCAGAAGATATGCCAGATAGAATGCCAGATAGAATGCCAGAAGATTTGCCAGATAGAATGCCAGAAGATATGCCAGAAGATATGCCAGAAGATATGCCAGATAGAATGCCAGATAGATTGCCAGATAGAATGCCAGAAGATATGCCAGATAGAATGGCAGAAGATTTGCCAGATAGAATGCCAGAAGATTTGCCAGATAGAATGCCAGAAGATATGCCAGAAGATATGTCAGAATATATGCCAGAAGATATGTCAGATAGAATGCCAGAAGATTTGCCAGATAGAATGCCAGAAGATATGCCAGATAGAATGCCAGATTGAATGCCAGAAGATATGTCAGATAGAATGCCAGAAGATATGCCAGATAGAATGCCAGAAGATTTGCCAGATAGAATGCCAGAAGATATGCCAGAAGATATGCCAGATCATATGCCAGAAGATATGCAAGATAGAATGCCAAATAGAATGTCAGAAGATATGTCAGATAGAATGCCAGAAGATTTGCCAGTAAGAAAATGTATAAATGTCATGGTGGGGATCACACGAAGTAAAGTAATTACTTTTATGTTTTTATGTTGATATACATTTGCTTACATGTATTTACATATAATTACATATATTTACAATCTTGGCCGATCCGATGACAGCAGTACATTTCAGCCAGGCCAAGCATGGTTCAGCAATGAACTGTAAGCCATTTATGCAATGCCTAAAAGAGGAATCTCCCATAATTAATCATGACTCTTACAAATCATAAAACAATTTCTGAATTCTTATCTTCAGAACTTCTAAGTTTTGTTGAGCTCTCCGAGGTGGCGATGAAGATGGCGACTTGTGCACGGTGGCCACTCAAGGGCGGCCACACCGGCCATAAAAACCGGGTTTCTTCGCCTTTGGAGCCACCAGCTAACGCAGACGCACGCTTTTCTCGACTGATCTGCTTCCAAAAAACACAACTGGCATCCCAAAGTAGGAAAGTATGGAAAAGTGATGAAAAGTTAGTAAACACAGTAGTAAACACGTTTTATTTCGTGGGGGACCATTTTTTGGAGACGCAGTTCAGTGTGGTTCTTTTCTGTTTGTGGCCGGATGACCCGTGGCTCAAGAAAGGGGAAGGACCTTTGGGTTGTCCCTTTGTTTCCTTGTGGAAGGTGCAAAAATTATCTCAATTCCACCAAATCGTTTTTACCAATTGTGAACCCAAGGAGTCATTGAAGATGATTTGCGAACTTCCCCCTGAATTGGATGAGGGACAAATGTTTGCAGGCTAGGGTGGAATGACCCATCATACCCACTGTGTTGGGGGTTGTTGAGGGTTCCTTTTAAGGCTAATTATTCTTGGATTTCAAAAGCCAAGAAGTGGCGCTACTTGCATGCTCTCATCCGGCCACATGTTCAGGGATAGCGCTGCTTCAGGGAATCTCTCTCAACGCACGAGGTCTCTGAAACAATCTTTTACAACCTGGCGCTCGGTGCCGATTTCCCACCAAGCAGTTGGCACAATGATGAACATGCGAGCTGTGCACATCCCACTGCGTTGTTAAAGGAGCCACCAGCTTCCGCAGACGCACGCTTTTCTTCACTGATCTGTCTCAAAAAACACATAACTGATATAACTGGCATCCCAAAGTAGGAAAGTATGGAAAAGTGATGAAAAGTTAGTAGACACAGTAGTAAACACGTTTTATTTCGTGGGGGGGCATTTTTTGGAGACGCAGTTCAGTGTGGTTCTTTTCTGTTTGTGGCCGGATGACCCGTGGCTCAAGAAAGGGGAAGGACCTTTGGGTTGTCCCTTTGTTTCCTTGTGGAAGGTGCAAAAATTATCTCAATTCCACCAAATCGTTTTTACCAATTGTGAACCCAAGGAGTCATTGAAGATGATTTGCGAACTTCCCCCTGAATTGGATGAGGTACAAATGTTTGCAGGCTAGGGTGGAATGACCCATCATACCCACTGTGTTGGGGGTTGTTGAGGGTTCCTTTTAAGGCTAATTATTCCTGGATTTCAAAAGCCAAGAAGTGGCCACTTGCCACTTGCATGCTCTCATCCGGCCACATGTTCAGGGATAGCGCTGCTTCAGGGAATCTCTCTCAACGCACGAGGTCTCTGAAACAATCTTTTACAACCTGGCGCTCGATGCCAATTTCCCACCAAGCAGTTGGCTCAATGATGAACATGCGAGCTGTGCACATCCCACTGCGTTGTTAAAGGAGCCACCAGCTTCCGCAGACGCACGCTTTTCTTCACTGATCTGTCTCAAAAAACACATAACTGATATAACTGGCATCCCAAAGTAGGAAAGTATGGAAAAGTGATGAAAAGTTAGTAAACACAGTAGTAAACACGTTTTATTTCGTGGGGGGGCATTTTTTGGAGACGCAGTTCAGTGTGGTTCTTTTCTGTTTGTGGCCGGATGGCCCGTGGCTCAAGAAAGGGGAAGGACCTTTGGGTTGTCCCTTTGTTTCCTTGTGGAAGGTGCAAAAATTATCTCAATTCCACCAAATCGTTTTTACCAATTGTGAACCCAAGGAGTCATTGAAGATGATTTGCGAACTTCCCCCTGAATTGGATGAGGTACAAATGTTTGCAGGCTAGGGTGGAATGACCCATCATACCCACTGTGTTGGGGGTTGTTGAGGGTTCCTTTTAAGGCTAATTATTCCTGGATTTCAAAAGCCAAGAAGTGGCCACTTGCCACTTGCATGCTCTCATCCGGCCACATGTTCAGGGATAGCGCTGCTTCAGGGAATCTCTCTCAACGCACGAGGTCTCTGAAACAATCTTTTACAACCTGGCGCTCGATGCCAATTTCCCACCAAGCAGCTGGGACAATGATGAAGATGCGAGTTGTGCACATCCCACTGCGCTCCTAAAGGAGTTCCGCAGACGCACGCTTTTCTTCACTGATCTGTCTCAAAAAACACATAACTGATATAACTGGCATCCCAAAGTAGGAAAGTATGGAAAAGTGATGAAAAGTTAGTAAACACAGTAGTAAACACGTTTTATTTCGTGGGGGGGCATTTTTTGGAGACGCAGTTCAGTGTGGTTCTTTTCTGTTTGTGGCCGGATGACCCGTGGCTCAAGAAAGGGGAAGGACCTTTGGGTTGTCCCTTTGTTTCCTTGTGGAAGGTGCAAAAATTATCTCAATTCCACCAAATCGTTTTTACCAATTGTGAACCCAAGGAGTCATTGAAGATGATTTGCGAACTTCCCCCTGAATTGGATGAGGGACAAATGTTTGCAGGCTAGGGTGGAATGACCCATCATACCCACTGTGTTGGGGGTTGTTGAGGGTTCCTTTTAAGGCTAATTATTCCTGGATTTCAAAAGCCAAGAAGTGGCCACTTGCCACTTGCATGCTCTCATCCGGCCACATGTTCAGGGATAGCGCTGCTTCAGGGAATCTCTCTCAACGCACGAGGTCTCTGAAACAATCTTTAAGGGCAGCCGTCCTATTTTTTTTCTTCCCGGACTTGGAAGCATCAACCAGAATATGGCTGAGCCAAGTCTGAGATGAGCCACGGCGCCTCCAAAAGTCATCACGTTGGAGGTTGGTGTTAAAAATGCCGATTTCCCACCAAGCAGCTGGCACAATGATGGTTTTTTGGGATTTTTTGGGGGGTGATTTTTAAATTAGGGGACTGGCAATTGGTTTATTTCATAATCCAGCAATATCCACTGTGGTAAAGTTTAGTTCAATGTTGTATGATGAATTACTATTTTTTGGCGTTTTGGCAAATCTAGTGCCTAGGGCTTACCAAGCCCCTAGTGCCTATAACTCAGGGCCATGGGTGGGGGGAAAGTCCTCATCAGATGGACGGCTAGAAGTATGGATGAATAGAAAGATGGATAGGTGAACAGATCATTCGGCAATTCAATTGTTCATGTCATGATGACACGGTTTGTTCAGATCATGGTTTGCCGAACTCATGTGACGGAAGCCTTTTGATTGTTACGTGCGAAGAGCAGAAGTCCCGGAGTCCTCCGGGCTCAGTTTCCTCTTCCAATGGAACATGGCACCAAGGCGAGATTTAGAAGAGACATTCAAGCGGTTGGATGAAGATCGCAGCGGACAGGCGTGTGATCGTCCATGGCTATCCAGGGACAACCCAACTGATCAATCGAGTGGCGAAAGCCAACCCATTGCAGGTTCCCAAGTCACTCAACAGAAGTAGGAATGGCTAGAGGTGGAACACTTTAGGTGAGAATGGATCAGTTTAGTCAATACATGGGGGTGGATCTCACTGCCATTTCATTGGTGGGGAATAAGATGGAATAAGAACCATTCTACATTCTACACCCCAACGTTTGTATAGATAGAAGATGATAGAAGATACGTCTGTCGGTATGTCATAAACATCCATAAAACGTTGTAATGAAAACATCCGGATTACACCAGTTTACATCTATAATCATCCATAAATAGTTGACAATAAACCAAGCAAAGTGGTGTGATCCGCTTCATTGTCAACCATTTTCAGCACCCACAGGTCAAGACGGATTCAAAATCACCAAAGATCTCTGTGGGTCGCATCACCGCTTGTTGGTTTCAGATGATTCTTACTTACCGTCCTAACCAGGATGACAATCACCATCATCGTCGTCGTCGTCGTCGTCGTCATCATCATCATCATCATTGTTGAAATCAAGTGTACAACTTCCCTGTCTGTAATCTCAGCAGCTGTAGCCCACGCGCTGTACTTTTCACTGTAGCGCTCGAGTAACGCTAGCTCAAGGCTAACTCAAGGTAACGCTCAAGGGCCCTGTATGGAGCCCAAATGTATCGTACCATGACATGTACTCAGAGTAGACTAACATGTTGTATCAGCAACTGTATAGCTCATGTACATGTGCAGGTGTATTCTTAACACCCTGCCTCAACTGCAACATGTACTTCACAAACATTGAAAGAATCATTGTATAACTGAACTGTATTAAATCATGTAAGACATCAGTCATCTGTACAAAACTTTGCCTTCGAAAATCCTGTACATCGATCGAAAACGTAGTGCCGTGTTGATGTACAGACATCTTGTAGCCAGAATTGTCAGATGGATGTATCCATGCAAAGTTACTCACATGTAGTCAGAAACCGTTGTAAAAGAACTGTAGCAGTATCCAACCATGTACTTCACAAATTCAGATTTATAGAACATCTCATGTAGATGCAGCTCAGCCTGTAATCTCCACAGCATCTGTAGGCTCTTCTGGAGTGTCTTCGATGCCTGTAGACGATTCATCAATGGGCTGTACCTGAGGTGGCAATTGGGCGCCAGGAGTGCCCATCGGCACTGTACCCGATCCTGTCTGTGGGATATTCACGTTGTATTTTGAGATGTAGCTCACCACCTTGTAGAGCTGATCTGTAGGAAAGTGCTGTAGCACTTGGGCCCCATGCCAGCTCAGTGCCATTGTCAGTCCTGCATGGACTGGATCTGTCTCGTTCAGTGTATCGAGGATTGTAGACACATGCAATGGGATGTGCTCAAGAAAGAGGTACCCGTTGTCAAGGCTGTAGCGGCTGAGAATGTCAGCCATGTTGATCTGCACCTGGAAGATCCTTTGTGAATTGATTTCCTTTTGAGAAAAGCTGTACACCATGTTCTCCAGAAATTGGACTCTCATGCCAACGAATCCCCTATTGAAAACGTTGACCATCTTGTTGTACATCAAGGCGGTCAGTCGAGCCAATTCCGGGGTGCACACCTTCACATAGAATTCATCTGTGTACTGGGTCTTGATGTACCCGTGATACACCAAGAAAATCAACCAGGTGATCGCGTCATGCATCGAAAAATGTCCCATTGTCATCCCGTACGTGCCCTGTGGACGAATCTGGGCATGCTTGTACCCTTCGCCGCGGCCACTCATGTAATGGCCTTTGGTCAATGGAATGTACAACGTATCCACTGACTCATCGATGGGTTCTGTACTGCGAAGGTCTGTAAATTCGTCCCTAGCTGTAACCTCGTGCATCTCTCCGAGGTCATAGAGGCACCCTAAATCCGCTCCGGTGTAGAGGGATTTGTAGGGCTGTACGCCCGTGACGCCGGTCATGCGTGCCATGGCTGTATCCGAGGCTGTAGCTAAAAACCAGGGCTTGCACCTAAAAAGTCGGACGGCGCGGCCAGCAAAGTGTATCGCCAAAACATGTACTGCAAAACGACAGTGAAAAAGAAAACGATCATGTAACCCTTGGGGTGAATGATGTAGTAAAAAGAAGTGATCATGTACGTGTCAAACTGTATCACAATGACCATGTAACCCTTAAGGTAGACATACGTGTACATGATATACTCAATCAAGTAGGCTGCAGATACGTGTACACTTGTTGTGTTCGTATGCTGGTGTGTGAAACTGCTGTAGCTGGATTCTCCTCAATTGTCTGGCGGACGTATGCCCGCAGCATGTAAGTGCCATTGGAGCACTTCTCGTTGCACGTATTTTGTAAGAATGTCTGACGGATTGTGTTTGGTGTTGATTTTGTGTATGGAAAGGATGCCGTCGTGAATGAGGTGTTGTATGAACATGTATTTGAGCTCGATGTGTTTGGCTCGCTTGGACACGCCAATGCGTGTAGCCATGCTTTTGCCTGATGTGCTGTCAGTGTGTATTTTGAGGCTGATCTTGTTGTGTAGGATCTCTCCCAAGAAGTTCTTGAGGTGCAATGCCTCTGTAGCACCTGTACCAATCGCGTAGAACTCGCTTTCTGCTGAAGAAAGTGCTACTACGGATTGTGTACGTGAACCGAAGTGGACTGTAGTCCCAAGGAATTGGATCACGAAGCCAGATGTACTTTTGCGTGTAACCTGGCATCCTGCCCAGTCTGCATCTGTGTAGACTGTCAGGTCGAGCTGCTCCTTGTTGTTGGGCTGTAGAAACACCGTTGGTTGTATCACGAACTTGTGGTGCTTTGTACCTGCTAGGTACCTGAGGCAATGTCGTAGCCGCTGTCTGTCGCGGACTGTTGTTGTAAAGAACGCGCTAGTTCTTTTACTGCAAAGCTCATGTCTGGTCGTGTGTATGAAAGCCATTGCAGCTTTCCGACCATACGCCTGTAGTGGGCGTGCTCTTCTGTGTCAAGGAGTTCATCCTGTTCTGTTGTAGGTGTAGTGCTGTTGGAACCTGTAGTGACGGCTGCTGTTGCATTTTGTAGGTTTGCTTCTTGCAGGATGTTGTCGATGTAACTGTTTCCCAAAGAGACTTCAAAGTGATCTCCTTTGTTTGTAATCTTCCTTCCAAGGAAGTCAATTGTGTTGTTTGTTGTGCAGGTGCCTGTATGGCGAAGCAACATCTTGGCCTGTATCTCCTTGAAAATTCGAGCGACCTCATCAGGTTCTCCTGTAAAGAGAAGATCGTCAACATAGACCATGATGTAAACTTTGCCATTGGTGTAGACATTGGGCTCTGATTGTAGTCTTTTTAGACCGAGGTCTGTAAGCACTTTTGCTAAGTGCTCCTGCCATGCTTTCGGGCTGCTTCGTAGACCATACATTGCTTTGTGTAGCCTCCAGAGAATGTTTGGATTGGTGTAGTACTCCTTTGGTGGTCTGAGTACCAGGCCTGCTGTTGCTGCGAGTGCGTGTAAGAAAGCGGTAGATATGTCACCTACCTGTACAATCCATCCTCTGGCCATGCTGAGTGCTAGGAGTATCCTTAGCACTGCAAAGAGTGGTGTACTGGCGTACACATCATCTTGGTCTTCGATGTGTTCGGTGTACCCTTTTGCTACGATCCTTGCTCGTACTTCATCTCCTTTGGATCTGTAGACCCATCTTGACTCGATGATGTTGTCGAGATCAAGTTCTTGTCTTTGTTGAGGTGTAAGCTTTGTAACATCTACCTCCTCGTACACTCCTTGTGTTCTCATGGATTCCATCTCCTTGTGCATTCCTTGCTTTAACTTCTCTGTATCGAATCCTTCGTTGTTGTAGATGTGAGGCTCGAGTAGCCTCTGTTCTGCTCGTACCTCCTGTGGGTCTTCGCTTGTTGCTGTTGTAACCTTCTTGCCGCTCTTCAATGCGACTGTAACTGCATTGATTCTCAATCTTGGTCTTGTACTGTCTCTCTCCTTTGTCTCTTCTGGTCTCGCTGGTGCTTGCTGTGTTGTACTTTGCTTTCTGCTCTTGCTTGCACTTCCTTCATGTACTTGGTCGTCAACTGGTCTGGTTGGTGAGCCTGTTGGCATTGGTGATGTTCCCAACCTCATTGCTGTAGAGTGTGTTGACGTTGATGCTGAAGCTGTGCTTTGATGTTGTTCTTCGACTCTTTGTTTCTTTGTTGTCTCTGTTCTTGCTTTCTTTGCTTCTGTTTCTGCTTCCTTTGTGTTGGTAGCATGCTTTGCTGCTGTTGTTGGTTGATTGCCTGTACTCGTTTCTTCGTGTGGTGTTTGCCCTGCCTGGACTTGTTGCTCTGTTGATGCTGGTGTTGGTGGTAGTATGAAAGCTGGCTGGAATCCAATTGGTGGTGTAGGATTCCATGGTGTGCCAGTGATTGTGTCCATCAATTGAGCATCGTACCTGTTTGTACCTGCTAGTCGTCTGATTGTACGTGAGCGTACAATTCTGCCTGCAATGCCAATGAAGGACTCTCCAGTGGATGTACATTTGCCGAGCCAAATGCCTTTGTAGAACCTGGGGTCAAGCTTTGGTCGTTGTTTGATCGACTGTACCATGTACATCACAGTCTCTCCAAATTCACAGAGAGCTGCATTGTGTGTTCGTCCCCATCTTTTGTGGTAGCTGGTGTAGCCATCTGCTCTGATGAGGAATCTGTTGATCAGGTATGCTGAGTGTCGTACTGCCCAAGCCATGATTGGGTGTGTTGTCGGCAGTCTTGTGTTGTAGTTCTGCTGTACCTGTGTCCTGAGTGTCCTGATGTGGCCAGCAAGGGTACGGTGGAATCTTTCGATGCTGCCACTGCTTTGTGAGCTGTATGCCGGTGCAAAACGCACTGTCATGTTGCCTGTTGCTTTGGCTGTAGCTCTAAGGAGCGCCATCAGGTATTCTTCTTGGTCACTTTGTAATATGCCTTCTGCTCTTCCACATTCAAGAATGAATGCTTGTAGGCATGCCTG